CTTCATCCCTCGATTTGGGGATGTAAATTCGCGATAATGGCAGAGTGGATGCCTCGTACTCTCAACTTCTGCACTAACTTCTTACCTTTATGACTTAATAACTCGAGTTATCGGGGGGAATTCGCTTGTTACTGGCACTCTTGCCAGCAGTATTTTGGATCATCCTCCAGGGTTCAGCTAAAAGGAACAACGGAATACATGTAGCAATTCGATTAAAGAGATCACACTGAGAAAGAAATCGCGAATTTTTCGCGAGAAATTCAAGAGAAAATACCGCACCGTCTGATGTAGTGAATTCTTTGAAATTACAGAAACTTCAAACACGACAATTTTACATCTATTAATTTTTTTTTGTCTATTATTCAAAACTGACCAACTTCCCATATCAACCGCTGAAAATTTTTGACGTCCAATGAATTTGCATGGCATCCCAGCACGAAACGTCAAGTAAATTTCAACTACCAAGCGTTATTCACGTACCTTGGCATTATTTCGCTTTTAACTCCAACGGGGCTGTCACGGAAAATGAGGGGGCTTCGAAAACGAGACAGCATTCTCATTTCTAACGAGCATTCGATAACAGAAGTGAAACCGTACCAGACCGAGCAATGGCTGCATCACATCCAGTCATTCCACCTTGATTTTCCGAATTAACCCTCTCCCTTTCTCCCTGTGAGTCAATGTCCGGGACGATTATACGCTGACAAAACCTTCCCCAGTGAAGACCTGTAATGTCAATCGAATATTAAAAAAATGTTTGATAAACGACGAAAACCGATTAAAAGTACAAATGGATGATCCACGCGGTGATAAAATTGATCCGACATGAATTTGTCTATCAGTAGTTAGTCCCAGACTTAATTAAAATAAAATTTCATCCTCGCCCGATCATCCCTGATGGAAAATATCTTTACAATTTTTGATAGAAAATAATGGAGTGGGCTATAGTCGTACATCAGCTGCATGGGTTTAGGGTTTGAGCCTCGGTCTGAGTTTATTGGGTGCCTATAGCGTTACAGTTAACGTTGAACTCCAACAGGAGCGAAGTTCCATTATCGACTAAGGGCGATAAATATTATAAATCGATTGGCTCCTGGGTGTAACCTCAGCCCCACTTATTCTCGTATTTTCAGCTATTTTCCCAGACCAGGCGGATTATATATTTCTTGTTTTTCATCTCGTTCTCAGGTGGCGTTTTGTTTCATATAGATTTCTCTTTGGCCAGCTTAACCGAGTGATAAATCTGTCGCGAGGGTAGTTTAAACGATTCGCCCAGCGTGAGGTCACTCCAGTGGGCAATCCTTGGGAGAGAAGCTTCTATCTTCTATCAACAGCACGTGATATCCTTCTAGGGCTTTTTCTTGCACATTTTCTCTCCTCTTATTGCGGTTGTAGAATTGACGACTTTTTCCTTTTCAAGGGGTCGGAAAAAAACGTGAGATTTTCCGAGCTTCCGACACTTTTTCCTTTAGCCTTTTTACTTGAGATTACGGACGTTAATGGGAGATAAATATATTTATATATATATAAACATCTCATTTGCGGAAGCGAAAGGGATTTTCATGGAATTTTACCATGTGTCCGGGAAATCAGGAAAAATACAATTCAAGAATATTTTTCCATCTCATCGTAGACCACAAGAGAATCCTTTGGAAGAAGTTGAAAGGCTAGAATATTCAGAAAGCCATCCCAAGGTACCCGAAACTGCCATCGGGTCGACAAAAATGAATGAGAAATGACTAACGGAGAAAAAGTCTTCAGAGACAAAATGGAAAAATCCAGTAATGTAAATAGAAGATTTATTCAACAGTAAACACTCTCAAAAAGTTCACAAACATACGAATTACTGAGTGCACTGCGTAATTTGTAATGTCTGAAATGAGATTGCTCGAGGGCTGGGTGGTAAGGGGGATAAGTAACTGAAAGCGATTTTTAAAAGTGTAAAATAAGGACAGATGATAAAAGAGAGTTGTATAAAAAGGAATCCTGTGAGAGAAGGAATTTATTCCCCAGGTAAATCAGTTCCTCCGGGCTATCAACCGGCGAATGTAACTTCAACCAGTGTTGGTAGAGTTAATCATAAATTAATCTGCGCCATATTCTGGATTAACTTTTTTTTTTCGTCTCGATGAAAGAGATTACATATACAGACTCTCTCAAAATAAAATGCCCCGTGGGTATATCGCTGGATTTATTTGGAGATGAAAACTGAAATAGAAATCATTGTTTTGGACGTTCACGATTCAACAAATTGGCTCCTTCATTCTAGAAACTCCTTCCAACATTTTCGTTTTTCAACATTTTGAAAAATGTCTGCATGAAAAAAGTTTATCTGTATTTTTTATAAAGTTTATCCCCAATTTTCTATGCCTAGGACTTTGAAGTTCAAATTACCGCAGTAGAATCGTCACAAGCCGATGTTAACGGCAGACGATAAAACCAACGATATAAATTCCGAATGATATGGGAAAAAATAAACGGATGAAAAGTTCAAATTGTTCTTTTATTCTTTCTAGAATACGCCCATCACGCATGAGGTTTTATTTAACGAGAGAGTATTCTCTTCGCTCGGGAATAGTATTCTACGATATAGTTTACGATGTGGTCATCTTTCTCGTAAAACCACTTCACACGGTTTCAAACCCATTCATTCTGTACACTAGAATGCATTCGTAACATTTTACACCTGCCACTACTGCCATGCAGATTTTATCTTGAAGATTTTCGCATTGCGTGTTTTAAAAAGCTTTTAAGTGCCCAGTAAGCAAAATTCACGAGAAATTAGGTGAGAGTTCGATGATTCTGCGCCCCACATTCCCCTTCGATGAGATATTACAGAATTGATATCAATTTCCATAGCAATTTGTGCCATTCTTCAAGATTCAAACAAATCGACTTGTAATTAAAATTTCAAATTTCAATCCAACATCCAAAATTTCAGATTCAGTGGTTTTTTTTTATTTTTTGATGAAGAAAAACATGTGCAGGGGACAGGTTCAATATCGGATTAATGTCTTCATGGAAGTAATGAAAATGTAGCTTTGAATTTTCTCGATGATATAATACGATTGGATCCCCGATGTAATCAGCAGCGGAGTCTGTACTCAGTTTCAGCCTTTGATAACGGCAGCTCGATAATTACACCAGCAAATTATAGCAAGATTCTCGAAATGTATCGGGAATAATTAATTTAATTTATTTCTGCACGGAATCGAGGGAGGAATGTTGGAAATTCTGCCAACACCGAATGTATTTTGGAGGATCATCAAGGGAAGGAATACGTACCCTATAATTAACTGATAACATGACTACTTCATCGTACTCCCATCAAATATATATCAAAGTAACTAAAAAAATATATATCAGAGAAATTGGAATTATAAATTGAAAATTCCGCTAAAAATTCGAAATTTTCTTCAATTCTTCGTGTCAAAAAAAAAAGATAAAACGAAATAAAATTTCCGCATGACTTCTATGATTTAAAAATAATATGAGAGAGTGGAAATAATTGAATTCCGATGGCTCTACTGTGATTGCTATCAATTTCTGTTTCAATTCCATGGACATCTTTATCAAAAACTGTTGAATTGACTAATTAATTAATGTTCATTCCCATATCGAACCTCAATCACCGTTCAGTATCACAAAAACAAACACGTAATATGTTTAATGACATTTCTCTGGAATCGCCCGACAAATATGTGATTTCTGATTTTTTTAAATAATAAATTTCATATCGTCAGCGTATGTATTATGTATATTGGATCAAATCCACAGGGATATCCAAAGCAAATGCGAGTATAGGTTCGAATGACGAATCAGTGATAAATTAAACTCTGCACGTGATTTATGATGAAGTTGGCTAGGGAATACATTCGTCAATTAAAGTTCTGAAAAAAATCCTGGGGTATAAATCGTCTGATAATTCGATGAGGTAATTGTCTTGATGATTTTACATTTCTAATTCAATCAAATCCTATTTTACAGAATTAATCATGACGTTTCCATCACCGAATTAAATGGGATCACTTGTCTGATTTCATTTTTGCGTAAACAGAATTACATAATAGCCTAATACCCCCATGACGAAATGTTTGAAGTATAAAATCCCTGGAGCTGACAGAAAATCAGGTCTCCGCGTTCTGAATTTTCCCCCTTTTTCTAGTGCGGTAACCAGTGAAAAAATTTCACCTTTGAAAATCCATCAAACAACATGGGCTGTGCATTGAGTCTGTACTCATCCAAGTGAACATTGAAAATGGTGGACTGAAACGTTGAAAACATTCATCGCGAAATGTTCGTTGAAATTTCATTCAGGATTACAAAAAAAAAGCGCCCCATGTCCCAGTATTTTTCTAGTTGTGCGCGATTTATCAGGAAAAACACGGCAGAAACGAGGACTCGAATAAGTAACATTAAAAAGGATGAATGCACCAAGCCCCAGGTGCTGTAAAATTCTGTCTGCGATTTACTGACGCGAAGAAAAATGACTTTTACTCGTATGTGTGCACACCTGCACCGAGAGCCAAGTGTTACACTCGTACAATAAATCGCTATTTATCCTTTTCCCGAGCGATTTACCGACGAAACATTTGGAAAATCACTTGACAATTGCGCTGAGAGCCCTCATTACCCGAATAAATCAATGCCCAGTAAAAACCATGGACTCGTATATCAATGGACTTTGGACTTGACGGTGGGATCGACATTAGTCTCCACAGGGTCCTCGGCAAAACATGCAACCGAAAGCGATCAATCTCCCGATCTGTTGAAGCCAAAGGGACTTGACCCCTCGGAGATGCTCAAGTCAGTCGTTGCATACGAAAAAAAAAAAAATCTCTTTCATCGAGTGAGAAACCTCTCGAAATAATGTATCGTATCTAACACCCACATCAATCTCTCCATTCCACTCAAGAAATTACTGAAAATTCAATGTGACCTGAAACGCCTCTTTGAGTAGCGATTTTTCGCTCAATACGAAATTGCTTTTGTGATTGCAGGAAGCAGTGAAGAGTCGAGAACAGGGCCAGGTGATCCTGGAAAGCTGGGGGTAAAGAAATCAAGACCGAAAGCCTCTTCACCTAATCGTCAAGGACCTCAACAGTGTCAGGTACGAAATATTTATTTTATTAAACCAGTAAAATTCGGAGAAAAAAAAAATACTGGCCTAGACGATTTCTGTAAAATCGCCGAGTCTATATACTGGCCACTGACGCACGCACGATACCGAGAGACCAACTGCCGTTAACAGGAATGACCTATTTTCTCACGGTAATTCACATTCACCCACACAGGTACCCATCAGTGCACATTACCGTGTCATTCGCATCGACTTGGTTGAGGCAGAAACACAGTCGCCATTGGTACAATTCTTCTCCAGCCCTTTTATTCATTTTTTTTTTCAATGCCAGATGAGTGCTTCCATCCAATGTGTACTATAGGCACACCAAGAGCAATTAACGATTTCGATAAAATAGAATTCCCAACGCTTGGCCTCCAGGGGACGAATCCTTTTTCCCTCTAATATCTTTTTTCCTTGGTTATTTTTGTTGCGGTAAAGCTCGCATGGGATATGCCGCTTTCATTTCACTTTTATTCCTTTTATCTAATTTTTTTTTTTCGCTCGTTCACGGCTGAAATTCCACTGCGATTATGGCTCAACTGCTGGAGGATAGACACCTAAAAAGTGAATAAAATTCAAAATGAAATAATTGATCGAATAATTATTGGGAAATAAATAAATAAATAAAAAGGGAATATTGTGCCTGTTAATGACATTATGGGAGTTTTCATATTTGGGGGTCATCCCTAAATATCATCCATTTTCCTTTTGAATAGCCGATTTTCCTTGCCGATTTTCCGATTTACCAACGCTTTCACCTGGAATAAAAAAGAGAAGACTTGAATTAATGAATTTCTTTTGCAAACCCGATGGCAACGCTTTCCATATCGGTCTGTATGCGGGAAATCTCCCCCAGAATGTGCGACATATCACTCATACAGACATCGCATATGGTGTAGTGAGGGGAACGTTGAATATTCAGTCCGTGCAACTCTTGAGAGCACACGAGGTGAACACGACACACCGCCAATGTTCTCTGCCAACAGTTGACATTGGGTCCACGTAGCCTTCCAGAAATGGTTAGGCACACCCTAACCGCCCTGTCGTGCCTTCACTACCATCAGGCCAGACATATATCTATATTCAGATACCTTGGTGGTTGTTTATTCCACCATATCCTGCCATGTTGATCCGCCAAGCACGCAGTACTCATGCTGGGTAAGAACCATTACCTTCATCACATAATTCAATTATGCCCTACACGAGCTGCTGATGGGCCACGTCGATGCATCAAGTTTCGAGGACGGATCAAGATTCTTCGAGGCACTCAGAACGGAGTGACCCTTGGAAGCAATATTCTGCATTCACCCTTCAAGAAGCTGTTGCTTTGTCCTTCAAATATTCCTCCAAACGTTTCTTCAAATGTTCCTTCCTCCAGGAATGACAGAGATTGTTTGTCTGCTGTCTCGGTTTGTTCATTTTTTTCTGTAAATTACTGTAAAAGTAATTGATTTGGTTGAATCATTAACGAATCACGTTATTTAAAAACAATAGCAGCTTGCAATAACGCGTACTTTTATAATTTGGTTAATACGTATTCTGGATTCGTATTTTTTCTTTGATCGTGTTATACAGCTGCCCCGAGGAACAATGCGTATGGCACTGGAAACACAGGCAAATTATTGAATTTTTCGTTTATTTAATTATTTTACTTTGTCTCCGTATGCATGGGCAGTGGTCGAAAGGTTTTCGAAATCAACGAATTAAACCGTTTGTATTTTTCGTTATTGATGATATCGCGATATAAACTATTACTACATCAGTATTTTTCTTTCCGGCGATTGTTTCCACAGATTATTTAATTAGTCATTGCTATAATCAATATAATTCATAGATGAATATCATACTGACGAATCTATTCTCGCTGTCCTCAGGGTCGATTGAAATCAAGCCCATCAACGACATCTTTCATCTCGGATCGTGCTAGAACATTTCAACATCTATCCACTCCTAATCTCTCCCATTATTCACGTATCAACACCAAGACTCACATCCAGAACCTCGATAAGTTAATTAATTAACTATAGTCGAGCTTTGACCCTTCACACAAGCCCGTCGCCTTGTCGATTGCGCTTGGCAAGTGATGCACCATATACTTGTGGATGAAGGGCCAATAGGACGGTAAACTTCTGTGAACAACAAAGTCCATGGCAACAATGCTTGTGCAGAGAATAGTCCACCAGATATAATTAACCTTTGTGAATAACAATCACAAATTATCAGTCCTTCAGAATGTGTGGATACAATTTCCTATGCCTCATCGAATATGAATTCAATTGTCTAACACGAAAAGTCACTTTTCTTCTCAAAAAGTGTCAGATGATACTCCTGGGAGTGAATTTTACAAACAGAGTTTCGTCTTCTCCATTCATATCTCAATTCACTATTCTTAGTAGTCGAATCGTATGTCTGTCACAAAGACCACAGTGCAGAGTTAGAATAATGACATTCGTTCGGTTGTGCAAACTGAGATAGACCTAGAGATATATATTTAACGTGAAATTCTCAGGGTGAAATCCTAGCAGAGATGCACGAAAATGGAGAAGTATGTAAGCTCTGATTCATCCTGAATTGAAATCCACGGCTCCTGGTGTGCCAGTATCCGGTGCATCTCACGTTCTAAGTTCCTCAAATTAGATTTTCTACTTAGACCGAGATAGAGTGTATGATGTAGCAAGTTGGTACGAGTCGAATGGGTGTTACGTCTACATCATCCGATGCAGAGCGTTGTTATGTGATATTTCTTACTTCCTAGCACTCCCAATGCACGTCATTTGTGCTATCGGTGGATTCAAGGAATTTCATCCCTATTGTTTCATGGTTTTATTTTTTGAACTTGTCTCCAGTTTTTTTCTGGAGAAAGTTTGTGATGAAGCTGAAACTTTTACGGAATTATTTCCCGGAGAAGATCTATCCACTTCATATTTTTCCTGTTTTTTTTTGTGACTTTTATCTGCCTAATGCTTGTCACCCTTAATGAGTCTGACTAGGCACTAAATACTTTGGCATCTTTGCTTTTGATGGATGATTGTGACTGCAGTGAGAACGTTTACTCTCATTTTCGGGAGGAATTCTTGAGGACAAAAAACATTTTTATCTGAATCTTCATTTTTTCGAATTTCGAATCTACGGCCGATCCGCAACTCAGATCTGTTCACCTCTCCCGGGAATTCCCATTATCGCGCGATTGGTGAATTTTTTTTGAAAATTTTTCCAGTGGAAATTTTTCAAAAAATGAAAAAATTGAAAATCACTCCACGAGGGCTAATTCTCCCTCATTTCGGATCTGCGGTCGATGCGCAACTCAGACCTGTTCACCTCTCCCGGGAATTCCCATTATTGCGCGATTGGTGAATTTTTTTTGAAAATTTTTCATGGGAAAATTTTTCAAAAAATGAAAAAATTGAAAATCATTCAACGAGAGCTAATTCTCCCTGATTTAAGATCTACGGTCGATCCGCAACTCAGATCTGTCCACCTCTCCCGGGAATTCCCATTATTGCGCGATTGGTGAATTTTTTTTGAAAATTTTTCGAGTGGAAATTTTTCAAAAAATGAAAAAATTGAAAATCACTCCACGAGGGCTCATTTTCCCTCATTTCGGATCTACGGTCGATCCGCAACTCAGATCTGTTCACCTCTCCCGGGAATTCCCATTATTGCGCAATTGGTGAATTTTTTTTGAAAATTTTTCGAGTGGAAATCTTTCAAAAAATAAAAAAATTAAAAATCTCTCCACGAGGGCTCATTTTCCCTCATTTCGGATCTACGGTCGATCCGCAACTCAGATCTGTTCAGTGCTCCCGGGAATTCCCATTAATGCGCAATTGGTGAATTTTTTTGAAAATTTTTCAAGTGGTATTCACTGAAATTGAAAAATGAAAAATTTTCAAAAAAGTATCAGAAGAGCATGAAAATCGAGGAGGTATTCACTGAAATTTGAAAATTCAAAATTATCAAAAAAGTATCAGGGGAGCATGAAAATCGAGGAGGCATTCACT